TATATATATATATATATATATATATATATATATATATATATATATATATATATATATATATATATATATATATATATATATTGATATATATATATGGTTGGTATGAATATATAACACGGAGGAAGATTTGGAGTACGTTTAAATCATGCAAATTAGCGGTTAAATCTTCCTCAATATTATTTAGATATTCATACCAATTTTGATACAATAAGTTTGCCAACGTTTTTCTCTGAATAAGTGTTGGCGAAAAAGCCTTGGTTTTAAAAAAAATGATCACTAAACTGTGTTTGTCTAAAACAATTTATGCACCCAGTGGTATTAAATTGATATATATATATATATATATATATATATATATATATATATAGATAGATAGATAGATAGATAGATAGAGAGAGAGAGAAAGAGAGAGACTTTGTGAATTATTTCATATTTATTTCAGATAATTTTTTTTTGCAGAAATGTCTGCAGTTTTATTGAGTTGTTTTCATTTTTTTAAAAATGTCTTCTTCACGCATTACTGATACATTTTTTTTCCCTCTTTACAAATTTACAAAAAAATATTCTAATTTTCACCGATTTGTTTTTCTTCAATTTCGAATAAAAATAATTTTTTTTTTTTTTCTTTATCATTTCAGACTTGATCTCTGTTCGTATTCCGATTGGAGATTTAATGAAAGCAACTAAAATGAAATTCATTTCTATCTTAGGTCAGCACCAATAGATATTTATAGAAACGAAGGAATGGGCGCCTGTCTTAAAGCAAGCTCATCCTTCCATCTCTTAGTTCATGTAAATAGTTCTGTTCTCTTGTGTAACCCAATAAAGTTTCCGCATTCTACACGAAACGTAACCTTGCTAAATGAATTTAATAAACACCTAGCTTAAATTTCTAGTAAGCTAACCGTTCTGGCACATCATTAAACAATACAAACATATATATATATATATATATATATATATATATATGTCTTGAATAATAATAAAATGTTAAAAAATTAAAAATTAAAAGATTTCAGAGACACTGGGCTGTATATTAATATGTTTGGTTTTATTATTTAAATTAGGTTCCTGGACGAGTTTCGGCCAGAATATCCATCATCAGAAGAAAAAAGAAACCCTGATTGTTAGTAGCAGTGAATGACTGTCCCTGAAGAATGTGAACTTTGTCTGTAGTTTTCATTTATTTTTTATCGTTAATTTTGGTCAGTCTTTTTACGTGTTTTTTTTTTTTTTTTGGGTAGGTGGGGGTGAGATTTGTGAGTCTCAAAATTTCCTCCTTATTCATTTTGACAGCTTTATTGATGGCTGGTAGGCGATGTGTGTGTTAAGTGTATGTATCGTATAGCTTTTTGCGAGTCTGTGATTAAGTCCGTCTGGACAAAGTGTCTTGAGGCGCAAAATCCATTTGTCTTCATGTTCCGCTAGTATTTTTCTAAGGTTATTTTATATCTATTTCTACTTTTTCAATAAGAGTGAATTTTGCATGGCTACTGAAATCATGTTATTTTACAAGTAATAATCTTTTGTGGACTTAATCTGATTCCGAAAGTATTACTATTATTAAGCACACCAGATTATAATGGCTTGCAGCCATGTCATTCTGTTGTGAAAGGGCCATTCAGATTTTCCCACATAATGTTTCTGGCATAGTGTGCATTCTAATAAGTAAATTATGGTATGACTTATACAGTTAGAGTTGTGGTAGATTTTGAAAGTAGATTTAGTGACTGAGCTAGTGAATGAATTGGTGCGTCTAATGTGGTTACAGCATAAGCCCCTTTTGTTGTTACATGGTTGGGAAAAACCTGTTGTTTTTGTTTTTGGTTTATTACGGATTACCTTATCCTCTGAAATGTGGTTACTAAGTATAATTTCCATTAAGTTCTTAGCTCTACGATATGCTAGAAAGCCAGGTCCTTCAAACAATGTTTTTTAGGTCTGGTTTGAGATGTAGTATTTCCCAGCGACTTTTGATTATCTGGGATAGTGGAGGCAGAGTGGGATTGAAAGTGGTTACTAGAGGGATACGGCTGGATTTATTTTTAATCTTGTACATTAGGGTGTCTTCTCTAGATATGGAAATTGCTTTATTTATTTGTTCCCTAATTAGGTGCTGTTTATAGCCACGTACTGTGAATTGATGCTCTTGATTTTTAGTGCATTTACTTAGTTATTCATTGTTAGAACATATTCTTCTGCCTCTAAGTGCTTGTGAATAGGGAAGGTATTCTTTGTGGTGTTTAGGGTGGGAAAACTTAAAATGTAGATAGTAGTGGGGGGTTGATGATTTTAGTGTATAATGCCGTTTGTACTTTGCTGTTTTTATCTATGTAGATTAGGATGTCTAAAATTGTTACTGATCGTGTTCATTTTTCCTGGTTGAATTTAAACGAACTTAATATATATATATATATATATATATATATATGTGTGTGTGTGTGTGTGTGTGTGTGTGTGTGTGTGTGTGTGTGAAAATATATAGAAAATAGGAAAGAACTCGTTAGGTAAATAATCCAAAGTTCTTTAGTATTTTAAAATTTCGCTTGAAGATGGAACAGAGCTTACTTTAATTCAAATAATTATATTGAAGTTTTCGGCTCTTGTTTTGAAACATGAGACCTCTTATGTAGCGTGTTGGAATCATATTTTTAAATAAATAATTATATATATATATATATATATATATATATATATATATATATATCAGGTGTAACAGCAAAATTGTCCAAATCGTGTAGCAGAATAATTATCCATCCCACATTTATATATAAAAATCTAAACTAATTCCGTTTCTTTTTCCAGGTTTTCAGATAAAACGTTTAGCAATATTGGCACCATTTGTCGTAAGAATCACTGAAAAACCGTTTGAGTTATTCAGCTAGAAAGAGAACAGGTTAAAATCATTTTGTGTCAGACCCACTGTCTTTTTAACTGAGCAATGGTGAGACGAAAAAGATTATTCAGGCTTTCAGTAATAGTACCAACTCTGGCTTCCATCTTCGAAGTCCATTCAAGAACCATCAAGAAAACAGTGAATAACTTTAAAAAAAAAGAGGGAACAGCAGAGAGGAAAACTGGTTTAAGAGCTCAAAACAGCAAGAGGGATCATCATTTCAACTTAGAGCTAAATACATTCTTATTTTTCAGGATGGAGTCCCATAGTATTATAAAAACCTGGCAGAATTCCAGTAAGATATCTTTAATCATTCCTAAAATACAACGGTTCAAATCTTAATCTAACAACTGGACAATTTTTCTGTTACAGGATTTGGACAATTTTTCTGTTACACTCGCTATATATATATATATATATATATATATATATATATATATATATGTGTGTGTGTGTGTGTGTGTGTGTGTACAGCATATCTTCTTTCAAACATGTTTTATTGAATAATGTAGACATATTTTGTCTATTTTTTTATACTGATCTTTTCCAGTTTTTTCATCAGTTTGTTAATATTAAGATGGAATTCATCAATGAAGATGCCATAGTTTATGTTAACCCAAGTACTTTCGGTCTTTTTAAAGGTCATCTTCCGTGGCAAATTACCAAGACAAACTTATTGTAACTGCGATAAAATCTGCATTCAATCGTAATGGCTTGTAATTTTCGGCACCTTATGAACGGTTACACTCTTTGAGCGTCACACGAACAAGTTCCCCCCAGACCGCAATTGGAACACGTATATGATCCATCATTAAAGGCGCTGGTCGGCTCTTTATAATGATCCTGAAGATACCTGATTTCTTGTGTTATGGTCTGTCGTTAAAAGAATCAGATCAGACTAAAAATACAGCATCTCTCTTTCCAATCTCGACGGACTTCAAAGCCGTTTACGCGGTATTCTAAGTAATTAGTTATTTTCAACTCCAAGGTTTCTTTCCCCAGAGACTCAACGTCGCAAGATTATCCCTACTCTAACGCTGTTTCCACAGAACATATATTGACGAGTTACATTGTCTAGTTCCACTAGTTCATAGCTTTATATCTAAGACAATTACAACTTAAACCTCTTCAAATCTAGAATCAACCATTATCTATTCTACAACTCTTCATAATCTACAATTCTTATGCTCTTAAAACAACTCCAGTCATTAAACAGCTACCTTGAGTTGCTCTTGGGCCTTGAATTAGGTGAGCAATAGCGTAAAGGACATCCGAAGATGTAAGTGTGAGTGCGGCGGGTGTAATAGAACATGACATCCAAGTTTTATCGATTTCTACCGGGTCTGCAAAGAGACGCGGGTCTTAATCGAAGACGGTGCTGTTCCGATTGGCCAAATTCGGACGCTTTTCATTGATTTCTGCTTTTAATCGATCTAATTGGGAACAATACCTCTGTGGACTCAACCTACGAAGAAGTTCGTAATGCACAGTGTTCTTCAATTCCACCAGACCGGCTTTTCCAGTCTTTAACCATTGCTTATTTCGTTTTCTCCATGACAGCTTTCGTTTTAAATTGTTGTAAACAATCCATTTTTCATCGTCTATGATAGTTCTTTTGAAAAATGAGTTGTTATTTTGGCCTTTTCATCGATGAGGACTTGTTCTTTTAATTGGGCATTCTTCTTTTGTTACGTGTACACTGAACACATACCCACACACCCTTGAGGAAACAACTGTCCTATAAGTTATCGTTCAGCCAATATTAATATTTAATGGCTGTTACACTCATTATCAACCTTGACAGGGGCCAAGCATGGAAAAATAGATATATAGATAGATAAATATTCAATGCTTAAAGCAGAAGACGATATAATGGAAATTTCAAAACCTGTTTCGATGTATCATGATCAGGTTGAAGGTTTTGGTCTTTCGTGAATGTAAAGGTTGAATAATTAAAACAAATTAATGGCATGCAATTAAATATCGCGTCTCCGACTTCGCTGAAAGCAGAAAGAAAGGCTGTCTGTTGGATTGATCGGGAAACCATAGGTTAAAATCGTGGTAACACTGAAATGAAATCAGAAAAGGATTTAATTAGATGTTTTTAATTAACTTGAAGAAAGAAAGAACGAAAGAAAGAAAAAAGACAGAAAATATGAATTAATGTAAGGTAAAGAAGGGGAAAAGGAAGGTAAAAATAGATAGATAGATAGATAGATAGATAGATAGATAGATAGATAGATAGATAGATAATGAACAGACTGTGGTGATAGATAGATAGATAGATAGATAGATAGATAGATAGATAGATAGATAGATAGATATGGGAAATAGAGTTAGAAGAGTAAGTAGAAAGGAAAGGACGAAGAAAACGCTCTTAAAGAAAGAAATAAAGAAAGAAAGAAAGAAAGAATAAACGAAAGATAGTCAAGTAGTTCATAAGAGAGGGTGAGAGATGGAAGAAGGAATCCTATAACAGACGGAAAGCTTTTAAATAAAAAAGATATTAAAGAAGCATTTATTTAAATAGGCTTAAAAATAGAATTTCAAACGAAATTTAAAGCTAACGAAAGCCGTAATTAAATAATTGAAATGAGATTTTTTTTCATAGCAATCTTCTGACGTCCACTTAATAAACATATATTAACTTCTTTGATTTTAATTATTTTGTGGGGAGATCATGATGATATATCGTCTTCATGTATCCATTATACAATAATACGACGATTAGCGACTCCACTTAAATGGCATTTGCTTTTAGTACGGAGGGCAGATCGACGTGGTGTAATGGTTAACGAGCTTGTTCTCACTATAACAATTACGACTGAGTATTCAGTCCGATCCCTATACTTTTGGCCTTGTGCCACATCTAAGCCAAGCATAAAAAATCACCACACTTTCGGCCTTGTACCACATCTAGGGTACGCTTAAACAGCACTGGGCTCTTCTATAGTTAGAAAGCTTGTCTTGCTAGATCAATTACGACTGAATATTGAGTTCGATCCTCACGCAGTGCCCCATACTCTTGGCCTTGTGCCACATTTAAGCTACGCTCGCTTAGAAACTAACCATTTCCGTTGAGTGCGCGAACGATCAGATCTCGGCATTTACACGAGACCTCCCCACAAGCCGGAATGTGGTCGATTTTTAACGTGAGGGCTTTCCGGACGCGTATGCTCAGAAAAAATTCCCCGTAGATCCCGCATACACGAGGTCGGTTGCTGTTTGTTTTTCCCCCAAACGAGACTTTGCCTGTAAGCATAACCTCGTCTGAGTTCCTCTCCTAAAGCAGAGAGTTCAACAACCGATTATGGCTTTCCACTACTTAGCTTTTCTTTCTGCCCCGTAATTCTTTTATGTCAAGTCACTCTACAAGCGCTATGGTCCGGTGATCGGCAACAGGGATTTTCTGATGTGGAATGTGGATATACACTCTAGAAGGGTTAAAAACAAGAACCAAAAGTCAGCTTAATCTTCTTGGTTCCATAGATATGTATGCAGCCAATGCGGTGACGACAAAGCATCGCTGAGCGGAGGCGTCCCAGATTGAAGTGAACGCCCAGGAAGAAAGGATCTCTCGACGGAATTCAATGGTCACGTGTCCATGATCATCGTGAGCCTGCCTTCAAGATGAGCATCATCGGCCGTGGATCTGTTTGGCCAAGAAACGCTACGCATTAATTAATACTTTTCGGTTTTCAACTCGGATATGTGGTGGGAACTACTGATTAGAATAGATTAGATTGTAGAATAACAATAATAAACAGCACTTACCGGTGTAAAGGTCCCAGCTAGCGTCCAGCTGGCAGACAAAAATAAAGCAGGTTGTAACTTAATAAAAACCCTGCAAACTAACAGCTGAATCAAGCTGGTATTTATATAGAAATACCTCCACTCAGGTACCAGCAGCCAATCACAGCCCAAGCAATGGACTATCCCACTTTAGCACAATGAGATGCTCTATGGCAATATAAATAGCTCTCTTTCTAAAGGTTGGATTAGTGTTCACTTAGCTTGCTCCACAACTAAGTGTTTATCTCTACCACGTCATTTTTCTACAATCAGGTGCTCATCTGCGTAAAGAACCTACAACCGCACTCGGTCAATGGAATAATAATGATGACGAATAACTATTTCCTGCTATCACCCCCTCTTTGTCTTTCTAGTGGCATACATTTACCCAAACCCATGAAGTACATTCTTCTACTGTGTCCCTTCTCTGCGTGTGTTATCATGTCTCTCCAGAGATTCCTATCCCTTGTGGCTCGTAGCAGGGTTACTCGTTTGCCAAGCCACCTACCTCGTTCCACTATCCATTCACACAAATTCGTCATGTAGGTAATCCTCTGCCTTCCCTTACCTCTCTTGCCCTTGATACGCTCTGTGAGGGTTAAATCTTTCAAGCTCTCCTTCATTATTTGTCCAAGAAACTTCAGCTGTCTCTTTCAAGACGTCCTCATTGCTTGCCTGATTTGTTTGATTTGTTTTCTACGGCTTATCAACCATTTTCAGGTTAGTTAAAGCCAGAAAATATTTTTAGATTGTAAGAATTTTAATAATGGTTTAGTGATAAAGTCTTACTGATTAACCCATATTTGGGGGAGAAAGGTGGATTCATAATGACTGTAACACCGAACACAGACGGAATTAGAACTCGGTTCTCCAATTAACAATTCCGTACCATTATCCATTACACCAGCCGCACATCTAGCCTTACAGCACCTGGTGTGTTGCTTACATGCTCCGTCCATAGAATTCTCAATATCCTTCCGTAATATTTTCTACTGCCTCTAGTCTTCATTTCATGTGCGTGAAGATTGTCCAACATTTACTGTATTGTAATAGTAAGGAGACACATTCTGCTAAGACCTATAAAGAATAAGAAGTTGTGGATGACCATGATCTCCCACGTTCTGAAGGGACATGGCCTATAAAAGTAAACAAATTGTCTATAAAAAATGGCACCTTTTGAATTAATATATGAACAAAGCAGAATTATATTAAATTCGCTTATACTTAAAATCAGAAAGAAACACTTGAAGTTTCTGGGACACATAATAAAGAAAAAGGGCTTGGAGAATTTAACACGCACAATTCACACTGAATGCCAGAATGCTTGAGAACAATATCGACTGACTTACCTAACGATTTTATGTAAATGGATGGCAAAGCAGAGAACAGGAGGGATGATAATGAAAAAAAAAACGTTCCTAAGAGAAGAAATTCGTAGAGAGATATGAACATACACGTCCAAAAGGGACACGTCATATAAAGGAAGATAATTGTTTTAGTTTACTACAACGTCTCTGTGGCAAAATAAGCAGAGAAAATTTACTCATTTTGGAAAAAAAAGAGAAAGTTTTTAGGAAACAAAAATAAGGTTGGAAAGTTTTCCGTCGTGTGGCTTTTGATTGACGCTTGTTGCCAACCTTTTGAACAAAGGGTTTAACCTAAAAGATTGCCAACAAAAACTTTTGGAACCAATCTCAATCGGTTAATGTCCAAAATCTAAATATTTTTAACCTAAAATTAGTCAAAAATGTTTATATTTTTTTTTAAATATATTTTTGAAATAAATTTTTTTTTTTGGCCTTCAACTAATATATTTGAAAGCAATTGTAAGATATTTGTAGTATTTTTCACAACTAAATATATTTTGAAATTAAATTGTATGCCTTCAACTAAATATATTTGAAATTGGTATATGCCTTCAACTAAAATATTTTTGAAATAAATTTAGTTGGGTGATTTTTGTTTAGCCTTCAACATATCAATCTTCATATTTTCGGTTAATGTCTAAAAAATCTAAATATTTTGACTAAATATATTTTTGAAATAAAAATATATTTTGCCTTCAACTAAATATATTTTGTACGAAATTGTATGCCTTCAACTAAATATATTTTGAAATAAACTGTATGCCTTCAACTAAGTATATTTTGAAAGCAATTGTATGCCTTCAACTTATATTTTGAAATAAATATTTTGAAATAAATGCCTTCAACTAAATATATTTTGTATGCCTTCAACTAAAATATATTTTGCCTTCAACTAAAAAGCAAATTGTATGCAATTGTATGCCTTCAACTAAATATATTTTTCAACTAAACTCAAAAATATATTTTGAAAGAAATTGTATGCCTTTAAAATATATTTTCTAAATAACTTCAACTAAATATATTTTGAAAGCAATTGTACGCCTTCAACTAAATATATTTTGAAAATTGTATGCCTTCAACTAAATATATTTTGAAAGAAATTGTATGCCTTCAACTAAATATATTTTGAAAGCAATTGTATGCCTTCAACTAAATATATTTTGAAAGCAATTGTATGCCTTCAACTAAATATATTTTGAAAGCAATTGTATGCCTTCAACTAAATATATTCTAAACGCAATTGTATGCCTTCAACTAAATATATTCTAAACGTACTTGTATGCATTCAACTAAATATATTTTGCACACAATTGTATGCATTCAACTACAGTCTGTATTGCTGATCATTTTGCTTTAAAAATGTATAGTTTATCATTTTACTATAAATATGTATTGTTGGTCCTTTTTCATATAAAATGTATTGTTGGTATTTTTATTACAAATTTGTATTTTTATACTTTCATAGTGCCGTCCTGGGTATGACGATAAAAATTTTACATCTGCTAAATATTTTTGGGTAAAAGATTTTGATAAACTACTTACAAGTATAGGAGATTTTGAGGAGCCTTCAACTAAATATATTTTGATCACCTCTTAATTACTGGTCTTCCCAGGTCTACCCTGACCCGGGGTAGTAGCACCTGTTAGGGTCCTAACTATCGGTAAATCCTTTTCCACACCCAAACTGGAGTCAAAACACTATGTAAGTGTAAAAATAGGTTTAATAAGAAATACTTTGTAAAAAATTATTACTATTATTATTATAATACAAGCTATAAATTTTTTTTTTAAATATTACCGGCATTAAATAACCCGTCGAGGTTGATATGGCGTAAAACAAATAATAACAAACCAAATGAAATTTTCATAGTGTTTCGTTTTGGGTTTTAATATTTGCCCGTATCTGGGACTCGGGTCAGGGGGAATCTGCGTACAAAAGCAAAGTAGTGGAGGGTCATAATCGCTTGTTGAACTCTGCGTACAACAGTAATGAAGAGCTGGTTCCACGCTCCTCAAAACTTCCAATGTCCTGATTAGAGGCCTTGCTGCCGGATGTAGTTTATCGTCATGCCAATAAATGGTAACATCAGAATAATATAAGAAGTCCGCACCATACACCGCAAAAGAAAATTACTCGTCGTCTAGATGGGGATAGTCTGGCTACTGACGTAACTATTTTTCTACACATATGAAATATGGCACAAGTCCGGATTTCAA